AACAACCGTAATCTAAGAGTCACAATTTGCAGTTCGCTCCTCTCTCGTCAAAACCGTTTGCTGTTTTTAGAGCAAATTGTTACCGGAGATGAAAAATGGGTGCTGTATGTTAATTTGAAAAGGCGGCCTCAATGGTTGGACAAAAATGAGGCTCCGCAGCCCACGCCAAAACCTGACTTGCATGCGAAAAAAGTGATGTTGTGTGTTTGGTTGAATTTTAAAGGAATTCTTCATTATGAACTTTTACCATCTACCCAAACCATTACAAGTGCAGTGTATAGTGCCCAATTGGAAAGGTTAGCCCAAGCTTTAAGAGAAAAAGAACCTGCGCTGATTAATCGGAAGGGCATAATTCTTCACCACGATAATGCACGACCGCATACTGCAAGAATCACTGCTGAAAAACTGCGCCAGTTGGAATGGGAAGTTCTCCCTCAACCTGCATATTCTCCTGATATTGCCCCTTCCGATTACCATTTGTTTCGTTCTTTGCAAAACTTTCTTCTTGGAAAAAAATTTAATAATGAAGAATGCCTCAAAAATGCATTGACCGAATTTTTTGCATCAAAATCACAAGAATTTTACAACAGAGGGATTAAAATGCTTCCTGAGCGTTGGACACAAGTAGTAGAAAACAACGGCAACTATATTGTTGATTAAATTTTGTTGTATTGTTTAAATAAATTCGATTTAAAAAAGTATTAGAAAACGACATTAATTATTACTAGACCTAATATTTAATGAAAACCTCTAATGATCAAATAAAATTACATTCTGAACACAGAATGATGACATTAATTAAATAGGATAGATCTTTTAAAAAAATCAAATCATTAACTCATTAGGAAGAGTGTGAAGATCAAGAGGATTAGACTCTTGCCTAAATGATTAGATCTAAGTGATGTTCATAGAAATTACCATTAGAAATATTTTAAGCTAGTTATAGGTTTGGAGGAAAAAAAATCAGTCTGCATGAATTCTATGAAAATAACAACAGTAGGAAATATGAAAGCTTTTTATCATGTAAATTTATTTAAAAATTATTATTCTAACATTTCATCTTCCAAACTGATATGGGGAGTACACTGCAAAAGGTACCCCTTTCTTTTAAAAAAAAGTACTGCTTATGTTTATCTAATCCAGTTTCTCTAAGCTGAAGACAAGTACCAAACAGTCAACTAAAGGGATAAAAATAAATATTCTATACCTCCATAATAAATGACATCTACAAAATGTAATAGAAGGAATAATATAGGTATTCAAATAAAATCCCCCAATACAAATTTTGATCTATTTTCTAATGTTATAAAAAAATCTAAATTATAAAACATAAATCTCCTAGGTAGAGAAAACAGGTCTCTAATTTCATACTGTAACCATAGTCCTAACCATGCAGAGACTATAGCTACAATGAAATGAATTGTTCAAACTTAGTTTTTCAGCACTGCAATTTAAGTGATCATGGTGGCAATATAACATAGTAGCAAAAAGCACAAGCTTAGGATCCTGGTCTTAATATTTACTAGCTGAGGAAGTAATTTAATCTCTCTAAGTCTCAGTTTTATCAACTGTAAAATGGAACCCATATATACTGTGATGGTATATATTATGCCTATAAAGTGGTTAAGAAAATCCCTCGCACACAGAATTCAAAACATGGTAACTTTTATTATTAGCTATATATGCCTTCCATTGTATGCTACTGCTTCTTAGGGCTTTCATTTTCACTTCAGACATAACCTCCCAGGAAGGTATACTTTTTTTTGACAATGTCAAAAAAAAACTTCAGAAAATCATGTTTTCTATTTCTTTCATAGTATTTTCTAACACCTCTATTTCTTTCATATTTCTTACCAGAGAAACTGGATTAGATAAACATAAGCAGTACTTTTCTTTTAAAGAAAGGGATACCTTTTGCAGTGTACTTCCCATATCTGTTTTGCAAGATGGCATGTTAGAATAATAATTTTCAAATAAATTTACATAGTAAAGATGTAAAGGTGATAGGAAATATGAAATGGATGTACCAGTAGTTATACTTTAACAAATAAATGAACAGAAAAATGAAGAAATAAATGCACAAAGTAATGAAAGAAGGAACAAATAAAGTTGGCAACCATCTCCCAGTCCCTGCTAAAGCAGTATGATCTGAATTATCTAGCATCTCCTGGGTCTGGCCTTCAGAGTGTAGCTATGGTCAGCATTAGGTCATGTAAAAGAACTGCATATGCCCTGCTAAAATTGGAACTCCATCCTAATAATATTCAAGTTGGGACATCTTGTGAAATACAGTCAATTCAGAATTGAAGTACCCTTATTAGAAAAGCTTTAGAATCAATAAACCATCTACAGATTATTTACTCTATATTTATATGAATGTGATAGAATGAACTTATGTGATCATGGAACTTATGATCTTTAAAAGCAGCCTAGTTATAACTGAACATTACGCAGAAATCACCCCAGGAAACACTAATATTGAAACAAATTTTTCATAATAATGAAAAATAGAGAAATCCATTTGAACTGTCTTAAGATCAAAAAGATATTTCAGTAATTTCTTTTTAAAATTAGGGTGTTTGCTAAGCTAAAGTATGGGTATAATAACTTCTGAGATGAATTAAAAGAAAATACAAGACTTGAAAAGGATATATAATTTGACAAAACTAGGCTACAATTAAATAACAAAGGCTCTGTTACTGTCCTAACGGGAAGCAAGGTCAAAATATTCATAACATCCCAATAGGAAATTTAACTGAATGGAATGGGTCTCTTCCATTCTTTTGAATTCAGTAATAAATTACAAAGAAAAAATTACAAAGAAAATTACACGTGAGAAAATCTTCTTGAGTGTGTATAAAGGAAAAAAGTTTTTATTTATTACCTGTAATAATACTCATTAGGGGGAAACCAGAATATATGACAAGGTGCATTCAACAGCATTACTGAACTTAAACACACACATCATTTATCTGTCTGACTTATTTCACTCAGCATAATGAATGCCCTCTGGGACCATTCATGTCATTACAAATGTCAAGATTTTATGCCAAGGTTAGCAAAATAAGAATTTCATTTCTCATTTCCCAATGCTGTACTGTAATACTCTAATTTGTAATCAGAACTCCAACCACTGCATATTTATAAAGTTCTGCTTACCTTACTGTTTCTTTTCTTTAAGTATAATTGACATAAATTATTATATTATTCTCAAGTATATACCGTGTTTCCCCGAAAATAAGACATCCTCCAAAAATAAGACCTACTTACAGGTTTCCTTCTGAGTGAAATATAAGGCATCCCCCCGAAAATAAGGCCTCCCCTTCCCCCCCAGGTTAAACATGAGAGATTTAGTCCACTGATACTGAAAGAAATGGAGTCATAAGAAATTCACCAGGAAATCCAGAAATTAGATTGTTATGATGATGTTCCAGAAGATGATGACATGATTGTTATTGAATAAATGAGTAAATTCTTGATACTGTAGGATTCACAGTTTGTCTGGTTTGTGTTGATAACTACCGTACTATCGTACCGTATACAGGTATAATAATAAATTTCCTTTATTTTCATTTAACAATAAATGTATTCCGTATTCTTCTTCATGGAAAAATAAGACATCTCCTGAAAATAAGACCTAACGCATCTTTGGGAGCAAAAATTAATATAAGAGACTGTCTTATTTTCAGGGAAACAGGGTAATATAGTGATTTGATATTTATATACCTTACGACATGACCACTACCACAAGTCACTGAACAAAGTTATGATATTATTAGATATATTCCCTGTGCTATATATTACATACCTGTGACTTATCAATATATATAAAAGCCTAAGAGACCGTCAGACCATTTGCCCAGTAGCTATGACACACAGTGACCATCGGGGGCAGACACTTCGATCAGTAGAGGGAGCCCGATTCCGCGTGGAATTGGCAGTGTGTTAGATCGCTGCTGGGGCACTATCGGCCCCATATCTGGTTTACCTGCACCCCAGACCCATCGGGGGATGTAAGAGGCCCAGTGCTTATGTACTGGTGGGGTCCCCTGGCCTGGCCTGCGCCTTTTTGCAATTTGGGACCCCTCGACTTCAGGGGATGTCAGAGAGCTGGTTTCAGCCCAATCCTCTCGGGCCAGGCCGAGGGACCCCACCAGTTTACGAAACCGTGCACTGGGCCTCTAGTTTATTTTATAATTGGAAGCTTGTATCTCTTATTCCTTTATCTTTTCACCCATACTCCTCTCCCCTTTTGGCAACCAACAGTTATTCTCTGTATCTAGGCCTCTGTTTCTGTTTTGTTTGTTCATTTGTTTCTGTTTTTGTTCGATTCCACATATAAGTAAAATCATACAATATTGGTTTATCTGTCTGACTTATTTCACTCAGCATAATGAATGCCCTCTGGGCCCATTCATGTCATTACAAATGTCAAGATTTCTTTTTTGTTATAACTGAGTAATATTCAATTGTATGTATAAATACATCTTTTTTATCCATTTATCTGTTGATGGATACACGAGCTGATTCCATTTCCTGACTATTGGAAATAATGCTGCAATGAACATATATCTTTTACCTACTATTTCTTCGGTTCACAACACAAAACACAGGTCATAGCAATTTATCACACAATGAAGATGCTGAGAAAATCTTTTGGCTTTCCAATTTACTTCTGGTAATCTACTTAAATTGTATCTTAAATCAGTATAGGACGATAATGGAAAACTACAAAATGCTACACATCCTTTGAATTTTATTCAAAATTATCCATCTTTAGTCTATCTAGAAGATTTGAATATAGGTTTTAATGCTTCAAATTTTGCATGACCAAAAGTTTTGAGTATGTGAAGCATCTGAAATTTAGACTGTCTAAAAGATTATAGAAAATGAAAACTTCCATATATTTCATATCTTCTACTTTCTTTCTTTCCCCCTCCCACCACCCCATGTCTGCCCACCCTGCGTACACTGGCAATATCTCCTACTTTCTTACTTACTACATAAAATCGGAGAAGAGGGTGTCTGCAGTGTCAAAGTGGAGCCATCTTTCCTTGTGATATTAACTCGAAAAACCAATCTGGCACGAGTACTTTTTTTCTTGGAACCAGGAATTCCTATTCTGGCTTCAACATCAGCATTTCTCAATTTCAATATCCCTACGCAGTCCACCCTAAAAACAGAAAAAAAGTATATTAACTGATATTTTCAGTTGCTCATATGATACAGTATTTTTAATATAACAAGTTTCTTTTTTTTTAAGTTGCTTTCTTATTAATTTTTGAATGTGTAATATAATTATAAGATTCTAATTTCAAAAGATGTAGAAGGGTAAATCATGACTATTTCTTCTTTTTTAAAAATATATTTTTATTAATTTTTTTACAGAGAGGAAAAGAGAGGGATAGAGAGTTAGAAACATCGATGGGAGAGAGTCATCAATCAGCTGCCTCTTGCACACCCCCTACTGGGGATATGCCCGCAACCAAGGTACATGCCCTTGACCGGAATCAAACCCGGGACCTTTCAGTCCTCAGGCCAACGCTCTATCCACTGAGCCAAACTGGTTTCGGCAATCATGACTATTTCTAATTCCTAATCTTGTCAGCTTTTTATTTGTAATGAAAAAGACAACAAAAAAGTAAAATTACTATTTCAAAATCTGAACATAAGGAATGATTTACAAAGAGTACTTTTGCTGTGTTATTTTTTAAATAAATAAATTTAGCCTCTGTCTTTTGGCAGCTAATTCAGATATAGAGGAAATGGGATTTACTGTTTATTAGTATTTTTTTTTAAGTACATCTCTGAACGCATAATAATCTGGCCACTCAGTGTATATCCTATATAATAAAAGGCTAATATGCAAATTGTCTCCTCGACCAGGAGGTAGGCCAGCCAACCACCCATGTCCCCTCCCCCTGGCCAGGCTGGCCATGCACCCCACCCATGCACGAATTCATGCACCAGACCTCATATATATGTATGTATGAACATACACACACACACACACACACACACACACACACACACACACACTGAGTGGCCAAATTATTATATGTTCAGAGACCATAATAATCTGGCACTCAGTGTATATTTTATTGATTTTTTTCAGAGAAAAGGAAAGGGAGAGTTAGAAACATCAATGAGAGAGAAATATCGATCAGTTGCACGCCCCCTACTGGGGATATGCCTGCAATCGAGCCTGGGACCCTTCAGTCCACAGGCTGACACTCTGTCCTCTAAGCCAAACAGGTTAGGACGGATTTTACTTTTTATAATATTAGTAATTATCCCAACAAGAACAGGACACTAAGTAGACATAAAAACATGATTCTACCTAATAAAGAATGAATACGCAAATTGACCATCATTCCACAAAAAAGATGGCGCGCCCACAGCCAATAAGGAGGAAATATGTAAATTGACATGACAAATATGGCGGCGGCCAAACTGGGATACTTATGCCGTTGCCATGGCAATGACACAGGCATTGTGCCCCACCCCAGCTGTTCCAGGCCTCTGGGCACGCACACGTGCAGGCACAAAGTGGCTGGGGTGGGGCGGGACGCCTGCTATGAGGGGGGATGGCAGGGCCAGAGTGAAGGCAGAAGATGGCTCCAGCCAGAGCAAAGGCGGAAGGTGGCGGCCAGAGCAAAGGCCGGGGTCCCACGTGCCAGAGGGAAGCTGGTGCTGGCAGCCAGGGGAAGGAAGGCCTATTCTTGCACCAATCTTCATGCATTGGCTCTCTAGTATAGGATAATATTTAATGTTATGGGAAAATGCTAAGTAAAAAGTAGGTTATAAAACAGTGGGTACAATATTATTTCAATTTTATCAGAAAGAAAGGATGAAAAGATGAATATCAAAATAGAGGTTAGCACTAGCCTATTTGGTTCAGTACATAGAGCATTAGGCTATAGTTATTTCTGGGAAGTTGGCTTTTTGAGAGGTATGGTTTTAGCTTTTTATGATTATTTTTTAATTGATTATTTTCAATTATTCTGTATTTTCAACTTATAATGTTTAGATACTATTTTTAAATATATTTTTATTGATTACAGATAAGAAGGGAGAGAGAGAAACATCAATAATGAGAGAAAATCCTGCAGGCCCCTTACTGTGGATTGAGCCCACAACCCGAACATATGCCTTTGAATGGAATTGAACTAGGACCCTTCAGTCTGCAGGTTAATACTATATCCATTGAGTCATGCCAATTTACATATTCCTTCCTTTTATAATCAACTAGAGGCCCGGTGCACGAATTCGTACATAGGTAGGGTCCCTCCCTATGCCTGGCCGGTAATCAGGGCCGACTGCAGCCTTCTGATTGCTGGCTGGGGCCTTCCTTCGTTTTGTGCCACCCCCCAGTGGCCAGCGCAGGTCATAGTGAGTGATCAAACTGCTGCTCTCCCAATCAAACTCCCGAGGGGACAATTTACATATTAGGTTTTTATATATATAGATTATTCCCTTCCTTTCTTCCACAATATACTTTTATATTTATAATTTTTAAAATATTAAAAATAATTACTGAATATATTTTTTTAACCTTTCTTTTAAAAAATGTTATTGACTTTTAGAGAGAAAGGAAGTGACAGGGATAGAGAGACAGAAACATAATGAGAGAGAAACATCATCAAACACTGCCTCCTGCACACCCGTGATTGAGGACTGAGAGCCCAAAACCAGGCCATAAGTCTGCCCGACAGGGAATAGATCTAGTGACTTCTTGGTTCATGGGTAGACACTTCACCTCTAAACCACACCAACCAGGCTTTACTGAATATTTTCCAAACATTTCTTTTCCAATTAACTTCTTACTAAATGGCTTTCAAAATGAAGCAAAGCCAGCCCAGCTGGCGTAGCTTAGGGGCTGAGCATCAACCTATGAGCCATGTGGTCACAGTTCAATTCCAGGTAAGGGCACATACTGGGTTGTGGGCCCCATCCCAGGAGGCAGCTGGGTTGATTCCCAGTCAAGGGCACCTGCAGTGTTGTGAGCTCAATCTCCAAAAGCGGGCCTTCAGGAGGCAGCTAACTGATGTTACATTCTCACATTGATGTTTCGCCCCCCTCCCCATCCTCTCTTTAAAAATCAATTAAAAATTAATTAACTAATTAAAAGATGGGTCAAGGAATCATGAATAGTCTCTGTTAAATAGTTTCTAAAACAAATATTAAGAAAACAGAACTTGGGAAAGCAAACCAAATTGTAATTTTTACTTTTAATGTTAATATTGTTAATACCAACAAATAAGTATATTATTTTCCAAAAAGCCAGCATTCCACCTGGTTTTTATTTCCCTGCCTTTCACGACAGGAATTCTCTAGCAAAGAGTAAGAGTTGATTTTAATCCATTAGCATTCTTTAATAATCTGTTTTTACAAACATTTTAATAAAATACTCAAAATCTTCAAGAAACTAAAAAATGTTCTTGCTTACCAAATATTGAGAGAATGAAAGTTTTTTTACTAAGTACTTACGCTAGTGTCATGTTGTTGTTTGGATCAAGGCCAACTTCTATAACAGTAGTGCCTTCAATGTCCACTTCTTTGCAGGGAGTTGTATTTCGCCCAGTTACCCTGCAGGCCTGATAAAATCCATGTGGTTTCACTCGACCAGAGTCGTTACCCACAAACACTTGCAACACTACTGGCTCATTATGGCCTTCCAGCTGGAGTAAGATAACATGGAGCATAAACACTAATTAGCCTTTCAAATAACCTAACTGTAAAATCAAGCAGTTAGTACCAAGTCTTATATTTATAACTGGGTTACAATAAAGACATAATTTAAATCCTCAAGAAAAAGAGAGGTAAAATATTTTCGTAGAGGAGAGTTGACTAAGTTTCTGCAGAAAATTGTAAGTTTAAATTTCTCACTTTCTTGTTACTGGTTTTGAGTTTAGGGGACTGAGGATTGGTTGATGTAGTGGAAGCATGTCAAACTCACAGCCCACAACGAATATTTTTGCTGCCCAGCCAATATAACAGTATGTAAAAAACGTTTTAGTAAAAATTTTGTAACTTAATTTTTACAATATCCTGTTATACATAATTATTAATAACAAACTACAATGTTCACTAATGACTGATTACTATAATCGTGTTGCATTTATTTCCCTTACATGTCTTATGCACAGACGCACAATTTCTCTCACTAAAAGCAGCGAATATTTTAGCAGCCAATGGCCATGTCATTAGTCTTGGACTGACTTGTTTGGTGTGTGCAACAGGAAATATTCTGCTTTCAGAGAACAAAAAACAAAAAAAAGGTTTATTTGTCTTACGTTTATTAATTTGTGCAGGTATTCAGTGTCTGGTAAGTTAATGTTCAAGAAAAAATATTAATTTTTATTAAAATTTTCTATTATTTTATGTTAACGATTACTCATTTACTTCAGTCCTTTGTATTCAGCATGTCTCTATTGAAATAAACCTACATTTCTATGAAAATTGAAGTTTTTGTTTTCTTGCAGCCCACATAAATTTAAGCCTTGCTTGTGTTTGACATAGTTGATGTAGTGAGTAGTAGAGGGGCAGAAATGATATTGTACATATGACTATTAACTGACCACAAGTTTCCTGATCCCAAGTTTCTACCATTATTTCATTCAAGTATAAAACGAAAGGCAGTCTAACTAAATATTGTTCAATTAACACATTTATACAAACTGTATTTATCAAGAATCTACCATGTGACTAGGCAATATTCCAACCTGTTTGGTATTTTTCAAGGGGTTAGAACACTTGTTAAACATCCTCTACCCAATTTTTATGGTTTGTCTTCAAAGAGAAATATTCTATGTAACAAGGTAGCCTAGGTGCTAAAATTTGAGCCCTCTTTTTTCTTTAGTCTAAGTTCTGAAAAGATGAAGACTCAGTTGATAACCTAGTTCCTAAACTGAAGACTTATGTTACCTATCAACTGATCCTTTACTGAGTTGAATAGTCCTGATTACATTAGCCATTTCAAAAACTTTATTTTTTAAGTTCATAATAATTTCTAAAATATTTATTTGAATTCATTTTAAAATTTCTTCTTAAATGTAAAGTTATAGAAGAATTAATTATTGCTGTTACTAATATAAAAAATAAGAGGAAGATGATTCATGATTCCCAGATATTTTTCTTATCAGAACACATTATCATTTCCTTCAATTTAAACTAAAATTCAAATGACATCAGAGTAACAATATTTATCTTAGGGTTCAGTCAGACTTTTACTTTAATTCTATTATATATAGTTAGCAAGCCTATCCTTCTATTTCAGGCAGCTTTTGCTGGTTAAAAACAAAATAACAAATAAATGACACTGGAGAAAATTTTCCATATATTGCTAAATAAAAAAAGTACCTTTACTGTAGGAAAGCCTTGCTGTGTTCTGTCCTTGACTGAGCCACGGCTACCTTCCGTCAGGTACCGAGCTCTATGTTGGGTCTCAGGTTGTACAAGTATCTTCAGCTCCTTTCCCTCACTTTTAACAGGATACTGTCCACTCAACATAGGGCTTTTCTTTACTCCAGTTCCTTTTTGGTTTTCCAGTGTTCTGAGAAGTCAAAGCACAACATGGAAAAAGCATCAAAAAGTGTTGTTTTTACAAAAGTCATGTAAGATAAAGGAGGAAACAGAATAGGCAGTAACATTAAAAACGACTATCTTAGTGATAAAATAAATAAAGCCTCGGGGAAGAAACATTCCATAACAAAGTATATTTTAAAATTTCATAATAAAATTTAATTAATGATGCAAAATAAAAGTTTGGACAGGGTGAGACAAAGAATGCATATATGTGGTAGGAAGAAGGAAGACTGAATGCAATAAACTAAGAATAACAGGAAAGAATATAGCTAATGTCACTTATAACCTTTCACATTGCACTTCAGTCTAAATAAATTTTTTAAGTTACATATACATGTGGGTATTACATAAAGCTATGAGATTAACTACCATTACTTCCTAATCAGACTTGCAAAGCAAAATAAACAAATAAATAAACAAATAAATAAATAAATAAATAAATAAATGGGGGTAGCAGAAAAGAAACAAGCAAACAATGTGGGCCTTAAAGAAAACCTGAAGGCACATGTAAAATATTCTTTTGGATATCTTTCTCAGGACATCTGACTGAGAAAATAATTTAAAAAATCAGTGATTCAATTTTTATTGGAAATTAACTTTACTCTAAACAATTTTTCCCAGAAGTATAAATTTTTAGAGCATATTTTGTTTGTGTGATAAAATTATTAAAGCTCTTAATGCATAAAATTTTACAATCTGGGCTTTACTGATAAGCAATCTAATGTATTTTTATTTATTATTATTATTTTTGTTAATCTTCACCTGAGGGTATTTTTCCCACAGATTTTTAGAGAGAGTAAAAGGGAGGGAAGGAAGAAAGGGAGAGAGAGGGAGGGAGGAAAGGAAAAGAGGGAGGAGAGGAGGAAAGAGAAAGAGGAAAGAAGAGAGGGAGGGAGAAATGGGAGGGAATGGAAGAAAGAGAAACACTAATGTCAGAGAGATACAGTTGCCTCCCACATGCACCCTAATAGGGCTAGGGATCGAACCTGCAACCCAAGTATGTGCCCTTGACCAGGAATCAAAGCCCCTTTTGGTGTGAGGGCTGATGCTCTAACCACTGAGTGACCTGACAGTGTTAACTTATTTTTTTAATTGTGTTTCTAATGTTTATTTTGTTTGTTTAACATTCATGTTCTATGTGGAATATGATTCAAAGAAAAATATTTCAAATGGTGGTTAGGACTTCAAGTAGATACATTTAATCCGAAGCACTGTAAATATGCCATACAAATAAGTAGAAAACAATATTGTTTTAAAATAGGTTGATGTGAAGGGAAGGGGTTCAATGGGGGGAAAGTGGGAACATTTGTAATATTTTCAACAATAAAGATAAATTAAAAAAAAAAAAAAGGTTGAAATTTTCCATGCACTTTTTTTAAAAAAAATATTTTATTGATTTTGCACAGAGAGGAAGGGAGAGAGATAGTTAGAAACATCGATGAGAGAGTCATCGATCAGCTGCCTCTTGCACACCCCACACTGGGGATATGCCCGCAACCAAGGTACATGCCCTTGACCGGAATCGAACCCGGGTCCCTTTGGCCCCCAAGCCGACGCTCTATCCATTGAGCCAAACCGGTCCTGGCTTCCATGCACTTTTAAAAATAGTCAGGGCCTATAATGCTTTCTATATGACCTTCTCAGTCCCAAGTTTATACTCACATTGACAATACAGAAGCCAGGAGATAACTATGGACAAAATTTCCTCCAAAAACAAATAGGCCCCAGGAGAAATATTATGACTTCAAACACAGAGAAGCCATGGTGCTTAAGCAGCCGTAAAACTGGTTCTAATATTTACCCCTCCACCTCTAACCAAGTTGTTGCCTCAGATTATCAATAACAAAACCAGCCCTGGTTCCATTCAGAGTACAAACTATGACTAAGAAAGGGACAGAAGAATGATGGAAAGAAGGGTTACAAAGGGATGTAATAAGACTGACTGGATAAGAAGAGTTTTGTGGACAAGTAGTGTTGAATCATTTTCATATTTCCTGAATCTTGTACAATTCCTTAAAGAGTAGGTGCTGGAAAAAAAAAGTTTGTTTATAACTTTTACAAACAAATAGGAAGAAGAAAAACACAAAGAAAGAAAAGCAGAGGAAAAAAAGGAGCTTCTATCATAGTAAGTGGCTAAGGCATCCAGTAAGTTTGACATGATAAGTCGAAGATTACCTGAGTAAGTAATTTAAAAGGCCCTGGAAGAATAAATCCTATGAACAAAGTACTAAGTTGAACCTGGAACAATGGGCATTAAATCCCATTTTTCTTTTCATTGTTCTGGGTGGAAATGTAAACATTTGCTCTGAATCAAATGTGGAATCCCTTACTTATAAAATTTTATAATAATATTCTGTTTTTTAGTCATTTTAAAATAAAAGTAAAAAATTCACTTAATCTAATATAAAAAAATCTCCCAAATAGGCATTGAAAGGAACTAAAAGGAAATACAGCAAAATTCTAATAGTTGTATTGAATAACTAGACTATGTTATTTATTTTCATTTCTGCAGTTTTCAAATAACATCTATTAATTTCATAATAGAAAAGGGCATTACCTTAGTTTAATATAAATAAAATTTAGCATATCAACTAATTTGGCAAGATATGGCTTTATATTCACTGATATTTATGAGAATAGTTGATAATGAGTTTTACTATTTCAATAAAACAAAATATTTCATACTGAAATGAAGACTGCTGAGTGAGTTAACAAAGTATATACATTAGGATTTAAAGAAAAATAACACATGTAATTAATTTATGAAATGACATTTTAAAAAGCCCTTAAAACTATCACTAGGTTTAAATGTAAAAATAGAATACATATATATTTAGATTTCTAGACATAAAACTATTGAAAACATCAACTAATTATTAGTCATTCAAATTACTAATTTTTAAGGCAAGATAGCTTAAGAAAAAACAAGAAAGTATCAATTTAATTAAACGGATTTTACTTCTAAATAGCATCTAAAAATAAAATCCACTCTCTTGGCATAGTCTATTCAAAAGACTTAAAATGACATTCTAATTCCTTTGTATTAATTACAAAGTTTCTGTTTGTCTATGTCACAAAAATAACTTTCATTATAAAATGCCTGAAACAGGTTTCATATCAAGATAACATATCTTAATTTCTAGGATTACCTAGAAGAAATATAGGGCTACTGAGCCTCAGGAAATTTAGTAGAAGAATTTAAGAATGATATGGCTAGAAATGGTTAAATACCAAGTAATATTTTTTTAAATAGTTTTGTTTTCTTAATAAACTCTATTATAGAAACTTTTTTTTTTTTTGGTTAATCCTCACCTAAGGATATTTTTCCATTGATTTTTTAGAGAGAGTGGAAGGGAGAGAGGGATGGAGAAAGAGGGGGAAAGAGAGAAACATTAATGTGAAAGAGACATACTGATTGGTTGTCTCCCACATGCCTCCCAACCAGGGCCAGGTTAAGATTGAACCTGCAACCAGGTATGTTTCCTTGAACAGGAATCAAAACCAACCGAGACCTTTTCGTGGCCAGGCTGACATTTCTAACCACTGAGCAACACCCGCCAGGGCATAACTTATATAACATTTTAATCATATAAAAATGCTATTTCCATCTTGAAGACAATAAATTGGTACAGAACATTATTTGAGAGTACATTTTCTGTAATTTAGCATTACATAAATTGAAGTTTATGGCATATTAGATTTAAGGCTTTATACTTATCTCTCAAAACATTTCTAAATATGTTTCATGTTCCCAATGTTTTTCTTGTTGAATAATAATTGTCCTCAAAGGCCTAATTTTCTCTATATTTATATGTGTTTTTTTTTCCTTTTCTTGATATAGTTCTTAATAATTCAAAATTTAAACTTCTTCCTTCATTTTCATATGCCAGAGTTAAATATTTTTCACTACCTAAGAAGCTGGACATTCTTCTTCTGCTTGATGAGTTTCTGTTTCATTAATTATTTCATGAGAGATTTTGTCTTGACAAATGTTATACTTTCCCTGAGTAACCTCAAATCATTTCTAAGATATATCTGTCGTACAAAAGCAGAAAAGATATAGCTCAAGATATCTTTCATGTTTATTTTTTATTTTTTTCAAGATTGAATTAGCTTTAATAAGCAATTTATGAATGAGGCAGTATCCTTTCTAGCAGCTAAAAGGATGTTCTAAGTCAATCATGTCAAACTCGTGGCCCTTAGGCCACATGCAGCCCCCAATGAATATTTTTGCAGCCCATTCAATATAACGGTATGTAAAAAATGTTCTAATTAAAATTTCATAACTTTTACGCCAGGACCGGTTTGGCTCAGTGGATAGAGCGTTGGCCTGGGGACTGAAAGGTCCCGGGTTCGATTCCGGTCAAGGGCATGTACCTTGGTTGCAGGCATATCCCCAGTAGGGGGTGTGCAAGAGGCAGCTGGTCGATGATTCTCTCTCATCGATGTTTCTAACTCTCTATCCCTCTCTCTTCCTCTCGGTGAAAAAATCAATAAAATATATTTTTAAAATTTCATAACTTTTACAATATCCTATTATACGTAATTATTAATAACAAACTACAATGTTTGCTAGTGACTGACTATTGTGTTGCATTCATTTCCCTTACAAGCCTTATGCACAGGGGCACCATTTCTCTCCACTAATACCAGCAGCAAATATTTAAGCAGCCAATGGCCATGTCATTAGTCTTAGACTGACTTGTTTGGTGTACATAACAGGAAATATTTCACTTTCAGAGAACAAGAAAAATAGATTTATTCGCATTATGCTGATTAATTTGTGCAGATATTCAGTATCTGGTAAGTTAATGTTCAAGAAAAAATATTTTTATTAAAATGTTCTATTATTTTATGTTAACGATTACTCATTTATTTCAGCCCTTTGTATTCAGCATGTCTCTATCGAAATAAATCTACATTTCTATGAAAACTGAATTTTTTTATTTTTTTTTTGCGACCCACATAAACTTAAACCTTGTTTATTTGGCCCAAATTAGCCTTTGAATTTGACATGCTTGTTCTATGTTATCTCTTTAATAGCAACTGCAAACCATGTGTGTTGACTAACTCTTAAGTCAAAAATTTTTTTGTTTTCATTTGAAACTTTAACATTTATTTATAATAAATAAAAAGAAAAATCTCTCTTCTGGAACTTAAAAAAAAATCTGTCTCCACTAAAACCTAAATAAACACATATCTGTATTTAATGATAGATGTACATGAGCCTTTTAGTTCTGTGCTACTAATATTACATAGGTAATAGTTCTAAAAATATGTTCTAGAATTCTTAAATCTGCTAGTGGCAACATTTTAAGAAAGCGTAAACTTGTTTTCTTTTAAATAATTTCCTAATCTGGACTTTCTAAAACTAAAAAAAGTTAAATGTGTATTTTTCACTTAACTGCATCACACTAAAGTTTTAAATAAAAGTAGAGAAGCAAGTAGCAGAGAATAATTACTGCTTAAATGGTAAGTATTACTTTCAAAATGTACTGAGAGAATATTCAAAATGTACTGAGAGGACAAGTTTAATATACATTAAAAATACTCTGGTACTACTCAATTAGATTTTTAACTTAAAAGATATCAACGATGTAATCAAGTAGTAAATAAATCTAAAGCTTCTCTATCACTTTTGTGACAACTTGAAATTATAGATCCTGGGGCAACTAAAGGACCATAGCCTGCTTCCCAAAAAATATCTCTCAAAATCCAATGTGTTAATTTTTATCAAACTATAGGAAACTCTAAGAAGTCTAGCAATTAAATATTACAATAAAAGTACTAAAGGAATTTAAAGTTAAAAAATATCATAAGTCATAGTATTCTGTACTATATAGCAGTGAATATTCTGTAATATAGTTACAGAAATATTTAGAGATTGTTGTGAACTAGCAGAAATCAATGTAAACTCAAACATGTACTATGATTCCGTTCTAACATCCTTCAAATACATAAACCAGAATCATAGAAAAAAATTTCATGATGTATTTTTTTAAAATCCCAAATGAGAGCTGTCTGCCTACTCTCTATGTATGAGTCTGTCTCTATTTTGCTTGGTAGTTCAATTTGTACATTAAATTCCAGATAGCTCTGGTGGGAAGAGATGTTGCAGCAGGAGGGATTGAGCAAAAAAAAAGAAAAAGAGAAATCATGGACATGAACAACATTGTGGTGATTGTGGGGATGGGGGTGGGCAGCAGTGTGGATGTGGAAGAGGGCAGAGAGGGGATAAATGGTGATGGAATAAATTAAATTAAAAATCCCAAATCAGCACAATGTATATAAAAAAGCTTAAAATAAATACATAAATCTAAATAATGAAAACCAAGCCATCAATCATTTTTTCTTATTTTTATGAAATAAAAGAAAAATAAAGTTTAAAACCCTCACAAAAATGGAAACAGATTGAATCATATGGAGACAATGTGAAAAGAACACAAACAAGTCCTTTGTGAGTGTCTTGAGTTGTTTCAGCTAAAGCCATTACATGCTAGTTATTTTTATGAGTAAAAATATTCTTAAATCCTTTTAAAATATAAACTATTTGAAATTTATTTCAAAACATTATTTTATTTTATACTACTTAATCACATCCATAAGAAGATACCTATCGCTAAAATTTTTTGATATTTTATCTTTTCTCTAGTGAACCTTGGTAATTTTAAGTTAAAATTTTGAGGTATTTCAAATGATAAAATTAGTTTCTTTGCTTTAATGCATACTTGAGTTAAGCAATTAAGAAAAGTGGGGGATGATTTTGTTGTTGTTTTGCATAATGGTGATAGAACTTTAAAAAAAAAATGTGAATACCAACCCATTTCCTGCTTTTGAGTTGCCTTTGTTGTCCGTGGTAAGCTGAGAAAGCACATAATGAGGTGCTTTGGCACTGTCGGCATCAAATATATCCATATTAGATTCTTCACAATCTCGTCGTTTGACCCCCGGCCTCTGCTTTGGATTTCGTTTTCGTGATTTACGAGGTACCTCAGTATTATCATTGTAGGAACTGGTGCTCATGTTACTGAAGTTGGAGGGGGAATCCTCCATCCACATACTGCAGCTCTGCTCAGATTCCAATGCACACCCCTCATCCTGGCAGGACATCCGACTGTTATCCAGCAAGTCCTCAGGTGGTGGTGAGATGTACAAGACTGTGTGCCTCTTCGGTGTTGATGGATGCTGCTGGACTGTGTTACTGGTTATCTGCTTTTCACTTACCCCTCTGTTACTTACCCCCAAGGCTGAGGAGCAGCTCTCCACTTGCATAGCCTTGCTGTCGGTGACTGAGGTAGAATAAATGGTAGGGCTGGAAGAGGTGGTAAAGGAGCTGCAAGCACCGCCCATGGAGGAAGAGGAGGGAGCTGAAGAAGCATCTGCAGTGTACAATTTAAGAGTAAATACACTATACATGTTTTCACCTATGCTGGCTAGCAGTCCCATTGAAAATGTGATTTGTGAACTGATTGTTTTTCCCCAAAATGAATAGTTGGAATTTGGTTATGTTTTAGAATATCAATGCTTCAAGCAACAGAAGGCCTAAGAAATGCATTTTTTTAAAAATGCCCAAATAGAATTATTTTACTTGTGCTATAATTGATTTTCAAAAAAATCTAATTTAATGTTTTAAGCTGTAAAGCAAGAATAAAGCTCTTATTGCCTCAGCTGGATGTTCGATTGAATTTTAATAATTTAAAATAATAAAGAAAACCCCAATATAAAATATATGCTTGTGGTCCACATTCAATGCCAATTAAATAATTTATTACAGAATTTGAAAAGTGGGACTGTGCTTAGCCACAAAATATTAAAATAAGTCTCTAACCTATGAAGCAGAGAACTACAGGTCATTTTTAATGCAGACACTCCCTGCTTCAGAGGCAAATCCTGGAATAAAAATATGAGAAAATAAATGAGAAAAGAGCTGCTGATTATTCCAGATATCAATTATAAAATGAAAAATAAAGAGAAAAAATATATAATCAACTGAATTGGAGGCAAAATGGAACTGGTACCGTCACTCTGTCACTATGATTATTGTCACTATGATCTAGAAGAATAAACCTGAAAAAGGTTTGATTTGGAACATGCCAGGTTGTAGGAGATAAGCAAGTTAACCACTGGGGAGAGTGTCAAGAAGTTGGAAGTGATAGTTCAAAACCATAATCTCTAAAATAAATAAATCCATCTTAAATGGTGGAATGAAAAGTAGAGTAAGGACAGATTACTGGATGGATTACTTATATAAGTACTTGATTACACTCAGCAACTGGTTACCACTGTCCATTTCCTCTCTCTTCAAGGGCCCACTTGTTTAAACTATTAAAGAAATTTTCTTAGCAAATTTTATTGGCCAGAATCTAAAAACAAAGAATTAAGCAAGAAAAATCTCTGGATATCACCAGAATCTATTTAAAAAAAAAAAAAAAAAAAAAAAAAAAAAAAAAAAAAAAAAGGGTGTTTTTTTTAAAATAAGACTATTTATCTATTATGCTCAGCAAAAAAGATTTAAGTAGATCTTTTCAAAATATGTGGCAACTGGCAGAACAGCTCATTGGAAATATAATACTGCTTTAAAACCTTAACAGCATAACCTCAGAGGCATACTAATAATGTTAGGGTTAGGTGTTGTCAGTCCTAAAATCTTACAAATACCATTTTATCTTGTATAATACATGCGAAGTTTTATAATTGTATACACAATAAAAATAGGTAACATGGCAGACAACTAAAAGATACGTTTATATGTAAAGTTAATTTTTATCAATAGTCAAGTATGCCACTGTTTTAAAATGGAATGATGAAACTTAAAATTGTGATATGCAGTTATTGGAATTGTAATATTCATATCAATTATAATATAAAAAGTGAAATGTAAGAATGCCAATGTTTAGATAATCAAAAGCCAACTGCCAAAGATCTACTTTTAAAATAAAAACTTGTACGAAAACACTTTAAATCATTTGAAAGAACTAAATTAAGTCATAATATTCATTACTTTAAAGATTAAACAGCATAGTAATTAATATTAGCATTATTAATGTGATCTACATAATGCCACATGGAGATTATTCCCAACTACTATAAGACAAAGAACTTAGAGCAATTAGATGATACCAGTTCCATTTTCCAGTTCGTATCCTTGTCAAATTGAGTAGATGAAATTGGAAAATTCAGTCATTTTAAACTGCATTCCAATTTAAATAAAAATTTATCAATTTTGTATCATGCATTAATGCAATCTTTTCTTAGTAAATAAATATTTTAAAAGGTAGGTAATAACTACAAAATCTAGATGCTAATGTCAGTGACAGTTTAGGAGCTGATTTGTAGCCACTTTGGGTTTAAATAACAAGTTTTAAAAAAAAATACAACAGAATTCATTTTAGAAAAAATAGAAAAGGTATTATGTCTAACATTCCTTTATCTGTTCCAACTATTGGCACAAATGAAACTAAATTGTTATGTACCTATGTATGAGCCCATGTTCTTCATTTTCAGAGAAATACAAGTATACAGCATGCAATATTTGCAGTGGATCACACAAAGCATGCAGCATGAATGTTGTGAATCTGTCTTTCTATAAGCAGCTTTTCCCAACCCACACTTTTTGAATCTAAGTACCATGCACATGAGAATGCAGAATATGACCGTCGCAGGGATCCCTGTCCTTGACAGATGGAAAGTACAGGTGAAAAACAATTATGAACTCAAAAGCAAGTTATTATAACTTTAATTTGCAAGATATAACCCACCATTGCTCTTTGATATGCTATATGAGTTTATCTTGCAAAACTTATCAAAACAAACATGGTTATAAAACCAAATTGATATAACCATACATAAATTCTGTTCTGGGACAGGTATGCAAACTGATTTTATACCCTCCATAAATTAAAATATCCTATACATTTTTCTTAGACACCTAACGCACAATTTTTAAAATTTTACCTGCAGTTTCCTGTATATAGTTATTTAAAAAGTTCATTAGCACAAAACTATGAAACTGAAAACAAATTCTGTCAGGAGACAGTAGTAAGCATTCTTTAATTTTAAAATAGTATTACTTTTTAAAGCCTCCCTCATTTCGACCCTAAATTATAAAAATTCTACTCATTTTAAGATTATAACAAATCAAACTATAAAACTATCATATTATCATTGTTGCTCTGATGATGATTATAGCGGTATATAAAATCTTTCACATAAAGATGTTACATTCTGGTTAGCAAGACATCACTAAAGTGCATTAATAATGACAAGTTAGATGGTGGAAGATAAGAACTATGAGCCCTTTGAGAGCATGGACAATTTATTTATCTTAGACTCTTCCAACACCTAACATAGTGCCTTGCATGTTATTGGTTATTAAATTAATTTATGGGAAGCTAATATTTGATATAGGTGCTGAGTTTATTAAAGTTAAACTGGCAAATAAAGATATCAATGTGTTCACAATAGACACATCAGATTTATTTTAAAAAAGATTTACTAACTAAAACTTAAGACTATATTTTGCTATAATAGCATTATCTGATAGAGGGAAAAGGTTTAGAAGAACTTAAAGAGTTTACAGGTAACTACTTGCCATTTCTACAAAGAGTGCTCTAATAACTTCCTTTCTTGAAACTATACATTAGCTAAATTACCTATTGTGTACTAACCTATAAATTTACTAAGAATAAAAATCCTTATTATTATCTATTACAAATAAATAGTAAAAATAATGTCAAGAATATATTAAATTTCTAAACAATAGTTGGTCATTTCTAAGCATTCCCAGAAAAGCACTAAAAAACATTCCTGGAAATATTATAAATATAACTTAAGGTCACCATGGTATTAAGAAATGGCCATAGCATTAAAAAACAGCCTGGCCAGTGTGGCTCAGTGGCTGAGTGTTGTCCCATGCACTAAAAGGTCACAGTTAGATTCCCAGTCAGAGTACATGTCCGGGGTTGCAGGATCAATCCCCAGTGTGGGGCATGCAGAAGGCAGCTGATGAATGTTTCTCTCTCTTCTCCCTTCCTCTCTCTCTAAAATCAATAAAAATACATTAAAAATATATATCAATAAACTTAATTGACATTCCATAGAACAAAAATGCTAATCAATCCTCATCTATATAAATTTTTTCATTTATAAGTTTTTATAAACAAAATATGCTACCTTCCCTCACTTTTGTTTTGTTTTGAGTCTCTACTTTTATATTTAGAAACATAGATATTATGTTTAATTGCTGCATTTTAAAATACAAAAACTCCAACATAAAAATGTTTTAGTAACTGCTTTTATTTTTCATTGAGCAGAGTAGTTATAATGCATTTCTGATTTATAACTTTATACTTAATTTTTGTTCTTTAAATCCCTTACCAATTCTTCATAAAGATGGAAGTTTTCCTTAAAATTTTCTTAAGCTTATTCTTTCACTTAAGTAATGTGTAATAAATTTTTATTGGTATTTTTCATTTATGAAAAAGTTATCTTTGAACCAGAAGAATTTTATTTTTCCACAGTATTACCTGTGATCACAGACAGCACAACAAATTAAAGGGAAAACCAATATACCATTTCTACAATTTACTAACGTAAATTTATAATCTCAAAAGAATAAATTAACTCTAAAATTTGTAAATGAAGGGAAGCACTACAGCTATCGTGTTTTAATAATTATATTATTGATTAGCCAATTACTAGATAAAATGCCAGTATAATGATGGTCAACTTAAGTTGGATATATGACTTTTTTTAAGAAGATGGAATAATTAAGGTTTACTATGAATATTCAAAATAATTGGGATAAAAAGAGTGGTAGATAATATCTGCATGGATAACCCAGATAATTGCAAGTACTATTAATTTGATTACAAGGATGATAATGGATTTTTAAATAGTACCCCATATAGAAACCCTACACAGATTTTATATACTTCTTAAACAATATTTTAAAATTAAGAACTCTTGGTTCTAGATTTGTTGGAACTAGAAATTACTTTAATTACTATATCATTTCAATGATTAAAATACCATAAAATAGATATTTTATACAGAATTAAACTTTTTCTAGAAAGCTATGAAATTAGAAACATTAAAATCCTCAGGAGAAATAGCTTTTACAGATTTAAAACATATAAAAGAAATTATATTTAACTAAGCTTCCAAGATAAAAATGTGTTCCCTAGCATTTAATAAGCACATATATTTCATAGCTTTTCAACATTAATGCAAGAGTTTCCTAAGAAAGCCATTAAATCAAAGCCATAAAATTTACAAATGTGTTAAGTGAACCAATAGTGGAACAGAGGAGGAGGAACAAACTATTAACTGCTCAGAAAATAATCATTAAAAAAACCCACAGGATGTTTATAAACAATTT